CAAACATTCAACTCAAATGCGATATCTGTTTTCGTACATTGTTAGTGATTGGAACTTGATCATTAAGACACCGACCATATTAATAAAGTCTTTCATGAAAATGTATTCTTCGATCATTTTTTTAATGTAACGATTTTTATTGTTATTGTTCTTGGGTTGATGTTGATGTTTTCATGTCTATAATTCAAACAAACAATTAAACAAACTTAAATGAACATAAGAAACCAAAAACAAACGTTATTTATACACTAGATAAGGTACTTATGAGTTGTTGGTTGATCTTGGTGGTTTCATCTGCAGCTAAGGGACATTTTTTGAACGGTACCCATATCCTCAAATTCATCATTACTCAATTGTTCTTTGAACTCGATGATGATAGAACATTATCGGAGAATGTAAACATGTAACATTCTTGGATGACTAAATTCCAAATGGAATACATTATAAGCTTTATGTTTGTTTTCTCTTACCTTAATCTTTATATTAAACACATACGAAAAAAGATATATCTTTCTGTTCTTAGTTAAATAATTATATCCGGTTCATATAAAATAGATGATTTCCATGAATCTTATAAATTAGGAAAGCTAAAGTTTGTCTAAAAAATTTCTTCAACCATAATCAGATATTTATATTTTTCCTTACAAAAAAGATATATCTTTCTGTTAGAAGCATTCCAAATAATGTAGCATTTTGGAGTATATTTTTAATCATATTGTTTTTTCTTTTTTTGTCGTTCATAATTAATGGTGTGAGTAATAATATAAGTTTTATTTCTTAAGAATAATATTCTAACATAAAAGATTAAAAAGTATTGAATAATGTAATTTTAAAACCTTCACGAATTCCCTTGGATTTAATTATTCCAGCAGAATCGTTTGTATTTCGATTATTTTTTAAGTCTCTTGGATTGAAGTCATCTTCTTCCCCCAATCTCACCGACCTTAACGAATCACAAAAGCTAGAAACAAATTATACATTTTATCGATAAAAGATCCAACCCTCCTTTTAGATTTTCATCTTACCCCGCTTTTTGAAACAAAAAAGTATTTCCTTTTTCTTGATTACTGTAATGGAACCGGTGGTAAACGACGGCGCCGCCGAACAGATTATCCTCCGGTGGGATGCCACGGCATCGGAAGACGCCAGGGTCCGTATGATCTTCGATGGCGATCGGCAAGAGATTGATCGTTACTTGCAGGCCGTCGATCAAATTCAACGATCCATGGACTCAACTACACTGTCGGACGATGGCCACCAGTCAACAAAAGTCAACAATGCAATCCAGATCGCCATGGCTCGTCTCGAGGATGAGTTTCGTAATATACTCATCACTAACTCTACTCCGATCGAGACCGAATCTGTCGCTGAGTCGATCTCCTCAACTCGCTTGACTACCAGAACCAACAGCTCCCGCAGTGAGTCACCGGAAAACGATGATTGCAGCAACAGAGGGGAAGACGATGCTGTTTCCAGGGATGGCTCTTCTTCCTTTCCGGAACGGAGTGCGACATTTGAGAGCTGCAGATCTATGACCAGCATTCGCGAGCAAGATCTCATACCATCGGAAAGCATTGCTGATCTCCGATGCATCGCCGAACGTATGTTCACCGCCGGTTACTCTAGAGAGTGCGTGCAGGTGTATGGAAGCGTACGGAAGTCTGTGGTGGATGGAAGCTTCAAGAAGCTCGGTGTTGAGAAACTGAGCATCGGGGATATCCAGAGGCTGGAATGGGATGCGTTGAACACCAAAATCGGAAGGTGGATACGAGCAGCCAAAATCTGCGTTAGAGTCTTGTTCGCAAGCGAGAAGAAACTCTGCAAACAGATCTTCGAGGATCTCGGAACAGCGGCGGATGATGCTTGTTTCATGGAAACAGTTAAAGGCCCGGCGATTCAGCTCTTTAACTTCGTGGAAGCCATTAGTATCAGTCGTAGGTCGCCGGAGAAGCTGTTCAAGATCTTGGATTTACACGATTCCTTATTGGATTTATTACCTGACATTGACGACGTTTTTGATTCGAAACCAGCCGAATCAATCAAAACTCAGGCGACGGAGATACTCTCCAGATTAGCGGAGGCTGCTAGAGGCATGCTATCGGAGTTTGAAGGTGCAGTTCTTCGAGAACCTTCTCGTGTTCCTGTCCCCGGTGGAACCATTCATCCATTAACAAGGTATGTAATGAACTACATAAGCTTGATTTCAGATTACAAGCAAACCCTAGGAGAATTAATCGTCTCCAAACCTACAACCGGATCTAGATACTCGGATGATTCCACTACTCCGGACATGGATTTCACCGACCACGAAGGTCAATCACCATTAGCTCTCCACTTAATCTGGATAATTGCGATACTGCAATTCAACCTGGAAGGAAAATCCAAACACTACAAAGACAATTCCTTAGCTCATTTCTTCATCATGAACAACGTCCACTACATCGTTCAAAAGATCAAAGGCTCATCGGAATTGAGGGAGATGATCGGAGACCAGTACCTGAGAACTCTTACCAGGATCTTTAGACAGGCAGCTACAAACCACCAACGAGCAACCTGGGTCGGAGTACTGCGTTGTTTGAGAGACGAAGGATTACACACCACCAAAACTTTCTCATCTGCCGGGGTTTCAAAGAGCTCTCTGAGAGAACGATTCAAATCGTTCAATGCCATATTCGATGAAGTTCACAGGACACAATCCTTATGGTTGATACCCGATGAACAGCTTCGTGAGGAGCTCAGAATTTCCATTTTGGAAACACTAATTCCGGCTTACCGGTCGTTTCTTGGGAGATTCAGGAATCATATTGAGAGTGGGAGGCACCCTGAGAATTACATCAAGTACTCTGTTGAAGATCTTGAGACTGCTGTGTTGGATTTGTTTGAAGGATATGCAGCTTCGCAACACTCGAGGAGAAGATCACAGTAAAAGGGAGTGTCGGATCTTGTAGGATATCATTCTTTGATTATTTTTTGAGTAAAAGAAAGATGAAGCCTCATAATCTGTTAGCACGCTGCATGTTATTTCATCACTTTGTTTCACTTTTCTTGTTAATTATTAACATGAATACTCATATTTAATAAAACTTGCATAACTGCTTTAGTATGCCTTTTTATGTTTTTGTTTACTATTTTTATGTGTTCTTGTGAATACATGAATATGCGTGTTTGAAAGTTGGACTTTTTAAACTAGAAAAAGGAGTAAAGGAAAATGACATGAAAGAACCAAACCACTTCTACTCTCTTGTTTATTGTTTTGCGCCAAATTTAATTTCAAGATTGGTCATTTCAACGTCACTTAAAAATTGCGTACTTAGAATTTATGAGTGTTAAAACAGATTTATACTATGACATATGTATTTATGTGGTGTCGTGTGTGTAACATCGTCAGAATCTAGACGTTTTTGTTATTTTTAATGACTTTTTTAGTAAATAAAATCAAATAGATATAAGTAAATAATAAAAAGTTATAAGTATAACTAACCAAAAGATAATAGTACATAAAATATATTATAAGTATGATATAAATAAATTAGAAATTTAATACGGTAAATTTGAGAAAAACTATGGACCAAAGTTGCTAAATTACGAAAGTTAGGCGCTTGTTGACCAATTAGGACTTGAATGTTAATAAAATGGTGGAGAATGGTCATTTATGAAATTTCTTAAGTTGCTACTATTAGGACGAAAATCCTTGAAAAGATGGTTTAGATTCAAATAGATTAAAGCAAAGAACACAACAATGATTCAAAATATGTTGAATGATTAAAAGTCATGCCTTAGAAGAACTCGACAAAGAATTATTACTGTAGAGGCATGATTAGGGTTACAAGACAATATCAGAGTTAACTAAAATACGATGGATGCATGCATCTTAAATACTCAAACCCTAGAATGAAATACGGGAGGACAAGCCCAACCCGTTTACAAGATAGACCCAAACAAAAAGCCCAGAGACGCAACATAATTATCCCAACAATCTTCCCTTTTGCGTCATTTAAGGCGAGCAAACATCAATTCTGGATTCGCTTTTGTACTTCAAAAACCTTCAGAATTATGCTCAATAATGCTTTACGAACCTGGACATACCAATGAATCATGTCCTAGAAGCACTTCTTATCACCTTCATTGTTGCCCTTGTATTTGTTGACAAGATCCAAGATGAATTCGAGACAAGATGTGGTGTATAAGTGTTTGTCTGGGAGGAAGAAACACGTTTTGCGATAGTCAGCATCATTATTATCCCTCGCTTGAAAAACAACATACCAGCTTTCCTTGTAGATTTTTCCAAGCTTCAACTTTTCGAACCCCTTAGGAGCTTCTTTAGGAACTGCAGTAGGCTTCTTTCATAACACTGCAACTATCTCTACATCCATAGTGCCCACCTCTTGGATATACAGAATCATCAAAAGCTTAAGGTGATGGATAACAGGTTCGTACTTCTACGCATATCGCAACAACAAGTTGTAGAGAATAATCCAGTCATAAGGATTGATACACGACAGGTCTGCGAGAGTGAACTCATGAACTTGACTCGCAGAACCTCGGACAACTATGAATTTGGCATTTGGAAAACTGTCAGTCTTGATTGGTCCGGTGAGCTTCACTGCCGTGATCGTGCTGGCACTCCAAGTCTCGTATTGCAGCCTCAGGTGCTTAAGATAAAATTGGAAGAAAAGTTGATCAACACCATTATCAGAGACGGGGACATTCGCAACCTTGATGAAAGAACGAAACTTAAAGGCTTTAGATGTAATTGGAATATCCAATTGTGACTCCTGAGTATTCTGGAGGTCGAACGACACAACCGGTTCCAACCACTACTGATTCAGTGAATCAATAGCTTGAATTTGAATTCTTTTTAGCGTCCAAATAGGAAACAAGAGTTTCCTGCTTTCAAGAGCGGACCTTGTTTCTCTTTCAACTTTCTCCTTGGCTTCAGCCTCTCTCACTATTCTTTGATTCTCATCCAGTTCAGCATCACGAGCCTTTCACCTTTGGAGTTATTCTTCATCAAGCTCTTCTTCATCGCTGTTATCAACTATTGGCTCCTTAGAAAAAAGTTTGTCTTTGCCTTTACGCTCAGATTCGACTTTAATACTTGGCTTGACTGAAGTGGTTGGCTTTGCTGAAGTTGTTGAAGTCTTCTTCGGTTGATCTCCACCTTGTTTCAGAATAATGGAAGGTTCCGGAACACCCTCCAAGCGATGTAGTATAGCGAACACTGGTCTCAGCTTTTAAGCAAGATGTTTTTGAACTGTATTTGTTATCATTGGTTCCTTAGTCTCTATAATATATGAGAGTAGGCCATTAACATCAGAGATGCAGCTTTTCATTACTACCTTCTCAGTGATCAGATCCTGGATCTGTTTCTCATATTGTTCGAGCTTAACAGTGAGAACCTTAAAATTTTCGGTTTTAATAGAAAGGGAGCCCATTATATTTCTTTCCATGGTGAGATCATCCTGAAGTTAAGAGATTTGAGTAGAAATGGATGATTTGAACTCTTTGTGATCAATGGTGATTCCCGTTCTGACTTCTTGCAGTTTTGTTCGTTTAACCTTTAGAGATGAACCAAGATTTGCAATTGCTTCATTAGCTCTCGTTGTGTTGGTCTCAAAAGAATACTAGAAGTTGTACATAAACGCAGTGGCATCAGAAATTAGTTTATCGACTTTTTCAGTTGTTTCGTTGTAGACTGAGATAGAGGCATCCACAGCCTTGTTCATCTTTTCAAGATTAGATTAATGCTCCTTGGTGAGGGTTTCAAGAATGGACTTTATGGAGGCTTGGGAGTACTAATCAGAAGAAGAAAGTTTAGAAGTCTGAAGCAGAGAGTCAAGCTTTTCGTGGATAGCTTTTAGTTGCCCCTTTGTAACTGAAGCTTCATCATCACTAGCAGTCCGAATAGTGAATGGACTGACCGTGAACCCTGCTAAATCATCTTCCTCATCCCCATAGATCATGGTAGGATTATGTCGGTGTATTGGGGAAAAGGGTGGAGAGATATGAGATGATGTAAAGCCTGAAGTCAAGCCCCCGCATCAGATGCGTTGACTGAAACAACAGGTTCTCCAGATGTTGTGGGTGGAACAGTGGAATTAGTGAATAAAGGAACATATAAGGGAATGGTGCTTTGATGTTGAATAAAAACAGGTGGAGGTCAGGATTCAATGGTAATTGGTGTTGTGGTTTGCTCAGGTGAATGAGGTGGAGATGGAAAGAAATCATTGTAAGTAGGGGTTACCTCAGGATTAGATGTAGCCTCTTTGTCGTGAACTTGCTCCTCATCTTCATTGCGAATGGGTTGTTCTTCCTCATTATGAACATCTGACTGAGTGTCATATTGCGAATGTTCACTTTCAGAAGGTGTGGGGGACTTAGTATTGGGAGAAACTCTCTTCAAATTTCGCTTTTTAGGAGCGACTGTAGATGGAGCAGCCTTCGCCTTTCGCTTCTTAGGAGTGTTCTCAGGTTCAGACGGACCTTTCGTATCTCCCCTTTTTCTTTTCCCCCGTCTTGCCCCCTTTGTTACCCCTTTCTTGGGTTTATCTGCTTCAACTATAATTGACTGCATTTTAGGAGTTAAAGTACGAAAACTTGAGGCAGGAAGTGTACGATAGCTCTCAAGAAGTTTGCTGGCAGGAGGCACATCACGAAGCATGGCCTCGGAACTGATCCGACAAAAGCGAACTTAGAAGAATCAGCAATAATGATTCTAGTGGTGTGAAAGGTTGCAACTTTAGACATCATGGCATCTTGCATAATGGTAATCTGCAACTTGGTGATGTCCCTTTGAACAATGATGGACGAAAAGCGTGCACAAGAGATTTCTTTGTGACAAGTAGTTGAATGGGTACTTTAAATTACCTGGGCCCAGAGAACAGCACAATAGTTGATATTCAGCCCAATATAGACACCATGGATGATTGCCATGAACAGCTTGCTGGCACAATCAGATCATGTTACCCTTTCAGAAAAGGCCTTGAATAATATTGTGAAAAGTCCATTCCATTGGGGCGGCAAGTTAGGTTTATAGAATTTTGAAACAGCAGACAAGGTGTCTTTATACCCCATTTGATAAACATCTCTAACAGGGCTGAGTGGGAGATGGATTTAGGATCAATCAAGTTATCAGATTGAGCAAGCCCTAAGAGAAAAAAGAATCAAGCTTTGGCGATGGAGGTTGTTTTATCAAGGATCTGAAAAGTGATTCTTTGTTCTTCTTTGATGTAACATGTAGAAGAGTAGGCCTTTGAAAATAAAGACATCGGAACAATTTCCAAATTGGTTAGGGTTGTGATAAGTGGAGAGTATTTCAGACACTCTATGATTATAAGCATATGGCTGTCATACTTGAAAGGATCAAGATCGATGATCAGGTTTTGATGCGGCTTGATGGTGAGAAGTTGAGATTGCCCACTTTGTTCTTGAACGGAGGGAGTTTCAGAAGAGCCCGCCATTGTTGAGATCTTGAAGAAGAAGATGAACAATTGATTGCTTTTGATCGCCGGAAATATTTGAGAGAATTTTGTGAGTGGTAATGAGAGATGAAGCGCCAAAATCCTTTTATACCATGCGATTAAGGAGAAAAATATAGAGAGATATTGCATCGATTAATGAAACGTCACCTGAAAAAGCACGATTTGACAACTGTTCATGTCAGAGACATATGTCATACGGTGATAAATTAGATGTCTGTTCAAATTTTCACGCGTCATTTGAATTGTTATCTTCAAGAAATTGTCGCGTCAACGCTCCCCTTTCGCAGTTTTGAGAGATTCCATATGTCTCATATGAAAGCGAACTTCGTTTTAAGAGAACATAGGTTGAACTACGAACCTCAAACTTAATGTAAGTACCACGAACCAGACGTTTGAAAATCACTAGGATCTTCGTGCAAGAGTGTTCCAAAGATAAAGAAATAAAGCAATTAATTCTAATGGATGCTAGTGATGTCTAATAAGACACGAAGCTATGGATCCCAAGCAAAGATCTCTTCCTTCAAAATCAAGTGAGACTAAGAAGTATCTGTGTGGTTTCCCGTTGAAATACGATCAACTGTTTATTAAGATACACCAAAAGGCATCTTTTATTAGGCTTCCAATGTGGCTTCATCTTCATCCAAACTCTGAAACTTGATATAAGTATAAGAGTTGGACGAAGTACTCGTGTGACCAGTGTAGTCAGTTGAACGAGTAGGTTAGGAATTATTCTGGTGACAATATTAAATTCTGAAATCTAAAAAAAATGGATCTTGTGGGAAGAAGTGTCTTGGGACAAGAACAGGTCATAAAGATCTCGTAAAAGAAAAAGAGATTTCTTGGTACAAACCACGAAAGTGGCTTTTGTTAATTCCATGGTGAAAATCTTGAACGTTTAATTGTTCACCGTCAATTCATTTAAGTGTGTTGGATTTTGGGTTTCACTCAGTTCATGGTGGACGAAACTAAGATCATTAACACAGATGTTGTGTAACCATAAACCATGTTGTGTAACCATAAACCTCAGTGGTATAGTTGAGAGTCTCAAGGGTTACATTTATGAGTGTGAAGGAAGTGGAGAAGTGTGAATATGGTTCCAAGGATCGAATGTACCTCTGTTATGTGAAAGTGACCAAGCAGATAACTCTTAACTCAAAGTGAGAAGATTAAGGTAGCTCATTACTAATGTGAATTTAACAACCTGGTTGGGAAGAAACGATTGGTAGAATCAGTTCATTAAGGCTTCACATCGTGTCGATTAAGGCTTCGGACAACATGCAATAGAATGCTTCTAAGGACACTTAGCTAATACATAAATAAAGAGATTTATACCTACCCCATCACACGAATTGAGATATGAGACGAACCAGTGCCTCCATGATCATCTTAAGATATTTTTAGTGTTTTTGTGATTTGTGAAAATAAAAGCAATAAAAAAATAAACACAAATAAAATATTTTTGTATTTTTGAAATTTTCAGAAAAAAATTAAAACATAAAAGATTGAAAAACAAAACAAAGAGAAAAAACAGTATACATAATGTACAAAAGGATATTGGGAAATCCAAACCACGAATGAACAGTTGACTACGAATTACTACGAGCATTCGCACCGATTCGCAATGTTAAAGTAAACTGCGAATGAACAGTGGACTACGAACTACTGCGAACATTCACACCGATTCACAGTTTAATCATTATATATGCGAAAGTGATTTCAGAACATACTCAACTTCCATCATTCCTAGGCCTTGAAGAATTCTATTGAAGGTTGTTTCAAGCAAGACTTTTTGAATATGTCAACTAACTGATCAGAGGATCTTACAAAGTGAATTTCAACGTTGCCATCTTCTATGTGATCCTTAATGAAATGATACATCAGTGTTATATGTTTCATCTTTGAGTGTTGCATTGGGTTATGAAAAATGTGAATGTCACTCTCAGAGTCACAGTACAATGGAATTCTTTTCATACTTCAGCCATAATCATGAAGCTAATTTTGAATCCAAATAACTTGGGATGTGCATGAGGCAGCATATATGTATTCAGCCTCAGTTATTGACAAGGATACACAAGTTTGCTTCTTAGATTGCCAACTGACAAGTTGTCCATCAAGAAATTGGCATCTTCTAGTTGTACTTTTTCTATCTAATCCACATCCTCCAAGGTTAACATCCAAAAACGCTTGTACGAAGAATCTTGAGTTTGCTGGATACCAAATGCCAAGCAAGGAGGTTCGTTTTAGGTATCCGAAGATGTTTTTGACTGTCGTCATGTGAGGTTCTCTAGGATTCGCTTGGAACCTAGCACAACAACAAACGGAAAACATGATATTTGGTCTACTAGCGGTTAGATACATCAATGACCCTATCATCTGACGATAAAGAGTCATATCAGCTACTGGTTTTTCCAGAGATGGTGTTAGTTTCATTCTGAATGCCATTGGAACATTTGCTTTTGACTCTTTCACCATTCCAAACTTAGTAAGAAAGGTCTTCATATATGCTTCCTGATTAATAAAAATGCCTTCTTGTCCCTGTCTTATATTTAACCCAAGGAAAAAGTTAATAGGACCCATGGATTTCATCTCAAATTTGGTTTCCATCAACTTTCGGAATTCAGCTGTTAAGCTGGGATTAGTAGAACCGAAAATGATGTCATAAACATAAAATTGGAAAATCATTAAATGGTTACCCTCTTTCTTGCGAAAGAAGGTTGGGTCAACCGAACCTTGTTTAAATTTGGACATTTTTAAGAAACGAGTGAGAGTTTCATACCAGGCTCTTAGAGCTTACTTCAGACCATAAACAGCCTTATCTAAGATGTAATAGTGGTTATGATACTTTTCATTAACGAACCTAGGTGATTATTCCACATATACAGTCTCTTCAAGTTCGTCATTTAAGAATGCGCATTTGACATCCATTTGGAATACCTCGAAGTTCTTATGCGCTATGTATGCCAAGAAGATGCGAACAAATTCCAACCTTGCAACATGTGCGAAGGTTTCTTCTTAGTCGATGCCTTCTTCCTGGCAATACCCCTTAACCATGATTCTCGCCTTGTTTCTTATAACATTCCCTTCTTTATCCATTTTGTGGTGAAACACCTATTTTAAACCTACAACTGATGCATCTGGTGGAGTTGGAATTAGCCTCCAAACTTTGTTTCGTACAAACTCGTTGAGTTCATCGTTCATCACTGGCACCCAATCAGAATGATCAAGAGCAACATTAATCGTTTTGGGTTCAACCTTGGAAACGAATAAGTTAAACATACAAAATTCCACTTTAGAGAATAATACAGTCTGTTTCGCTTTTTGCTGAGATCTCGTAAGGACTCCTATACAAGATTCTCCAATTACTTGAGTTCTTGGGTGATCTCTGGTCCACTTGGTTAGTGGAGGATAGTTTGGATCATAAGAGGGATCCAATTCAGTATTTACTTCTTTGAATTTTGATTGAACGTCCGAATCATCATTCA